AAATACGACACGAATTCGGTCATTTTTGTCCCAATCCCACCAATAAATAAACGTCAATAAACGCCTATGATAACCACGAGTGTTGCTAACTAAGTAGATCAACCGGGTTCTTGGGGCTAGTGTGCAATAAGTAGAGTATTGTAAAAAAATACTATCACCACCAGCCGTTACATCTCGGCCAGCTTCAGATTCATCACTATTACACCATCCTACCCCACTCCTTTAGGACACAGTGATCAAACGGTGTGTTTATACTTCCATTCGAAAAATTCTTTAAATAACACTATCAGACCCATGGACTGTGAAAAGTGACAAACGATGGGTGGTTTCCCATAGCAAAGAACTGAATGAGTTGTTCTGCCGGAAAAAATCTGTTGACAGTCTTACAGATAGACTAACAATAGTGAATAAGGTTAGACCTATCATCAAGTCTAACATCTATCTAGAAAGTCAATGATTCGAAGTCACACGTGGAAACTATTTCTCCGAGGGGTTTATCCAGGGATAATGAAAGAATGCACAGTAAATATTGTACCAGACTAATCCATGTGGATAAGCTGATATAGTAAGAAAGAGATTGATCTCTGAAAATTCCCAAGCAAAATTGATGAATTTGCGAAAAATGCATCTCCAAAATGAACGGGCAGTATGCACTCGCCAGCCCTTATCTGTTTGGTGAATGATTAGCCATTCTGGTCATTCCTGTGGATCTTTGACCACTTAGTACTTGCATAATCGAGTTATTTCACCTATGGACAATTCCATTTGCGTAGTCATGGGATCACTTGTGGCAGATTCTCTGAAATTACACTAAGAAAGATAAAAACACTTCTTTCACCGGCTCAACATGGGCTCAGACCAAAGTGATGCTGTTCAATCAACTTGATTCCTATTTAAGATAAATGACACAGAATAGTTGACTATGAGGACCGGGTGGATTTGGTTTATCTGAACCTTTTACAAATATTCAATCATGGCATTTGAGGTTCCTTGCAGGATGGCATTGAAGCTTATCCGCGACAACGGAGCATATCAAATGGTGTTTCCGCCGAATTCGAGGAGAAGTGATTTTGGTGTGTCAAATACTTCAGGATCCAAATCATCCAGTTCATTCAGCATTCATCTCAGAGGACAGGCGTTTAAGTTTTGTGCCTCAAACATGTTAACTCGAATGTAGGCGTCAATCTTTCACTGTCGGACTGTGCATCACTTTGAACACTCACGTCATTTTTGCGCCCAGTACTGATTTGTTTTTTTTTGAGCGGAGACTTGATAAAACCCGGACACAACTCACATTCCTACACAAAGTAAATTAGTTGAAGACTGGGCTGACTGTATTGTGTATTGTCTCTTATTCGGAACGATGTGTATTTGTATTTGAATATATTTGGACGTGGACAGATATTGTCATTTCAGTCAAACATTACACATTGTCTCATTGAAAGAACGGAATAATACGAGTAAAACATTCAACCTCCGAGATTTCTGAGAAATTTAGAAGAAACGCGCTATCTGTTTGCCAGGATTCTATCAACATAGGGAACTGTAGAATGTTTGTAGAGTTTAATGCGGACCAAAGTGGTTTACACAGTTGTTTAAATAGATTATCAACGGGTATCAGGGACACACGATTGATAGTCGACAAACCACGAGGAAGAATTCCGAATTTTTTTCTAAGCAGTCCGGAGAAAAACATAGATGACCAATGAAGAAGATTGGGAAAAACACATTGATAAACAAAAAATCGTTTGATTTTTTGTTTGTCCTTGAACTGTTTAAGTCTTTGAAGTTCGAAAGATAATCCACGAAACTTTTTGCACAGTTGTAAAGATGAGATTACCCGTTTGAATTTGTGTCACTGATAACTCCGAAATACTTCACGAAATCTATCCTAGTTAGAGGATCTGTGTTGATACCCGAGGGTTCCCGGGAAAAGAAATAGATCGAGAGAGGGTAAAAAGTGCATTCGAAGCATTTGGATTAATTTAAGAAACAATCCAGAACGAAAGAAAAATTCATGAATACGAGATAGATTACTAAATAGGTTCCTCCGGCTCAGTGCTGGCTTAGTTGTCAGCGTTCATTGAAATAATTAGGCTGGCAAACTCGCTGACAGATCACTGATGTGGGTGAAAAACAAGAACAGAGGAAGTATCGCTCCATGAAGCACGCCCGATGTTTTCGTGCCCAGCCGAGTTTGTCGAACAAGAGAGGCGACGACAGCCTCGAAATTAGACTTGTTTTGATTTATAAGCAAACTGGATAGGGTCATTGGGGGTACTGAAAGAAGTAGATAAAAGAATTAGATAGACATTTGAGAATGACACATTCTGCCAATTTAAGATCACATGATGTGGCCTCAATTGGATGGAAGAGTTTGAACAGATTGCTGAATTTACACCGTGATATTTCTCATTTGTTTTACCGAGAAATCAATTAATGGTTTAAATATCATTTACGACTATGAGGAGCTTGTAAGTAATTCCCATCATAAAATTTCAACTTTGTCATGAACGTGACGGGCACACTCCATCTCAGATGTAGTTTTGCCTGATTTGATAGTCAAAGTGATACTTTATTCTGTTAATATATATATATTGGTAGCGTTTTGCTGTAATGAAATGGTCTTGCAGATACCGCATACACGTCAAACCTGAGGTGTTTCTAAAAGAGAATTCAGAAATGATCACTGGTTTGAAAATCTTGAATGACCAAAAAAAGCAAATCTGAATGAAAACCCAAGTTTTTAACTTGTCCATTTTTTTCTTTTTTATTTATCAGATAAAAAAAACAATAAGTGATGAGAGTTTCAACGAAATAACTGTTTCACACACAAACGTGTGTCAACAACCTACCAATCGAATGTTCTCTTTTGAATACATGAGAAAGGAATAACAATTGACTGATGAAATTTGTTTTGATTTTGACAATCTAGGTGACGGGTGAGGTTTGGAGCGAGGGTAAAGTGAAAAATTGCAGAACACATTGATGCAGCGGTTCCGTTTGACCTTGGACGTGCATCGTTTAGACCAGTAAACAAATGAGAATACGATTGCCATGGTGATGGATTAAATCGCGGGAAGTTTTCTCTTAGTCTTTCTGTTCGATGAGATTCATATGCTGGCTGACGATTCTTCCTTCGTCTTAGACTCACGCGGTAACGATCCCCACGAGGACAACTGGGAGCTATTCAATGCGATTTTCACTTTCTCGGGAATGAGCAAGTTCCGATTCGGCTCAGATCATCGGATAGAGTATTCCATTGTCTACACACACACACACACATACACGCACACTCACTGGCATTCCGGTCAGAGGGGACAGACATGTTTTGACTAAAAACAAACAGCTAATTTGTTGCCTGTACTCAAGCCAAAATGAAACTCATTCGAACTGGCGTTCGTTTATCGATCATGGGGAAAACAGCAAACATCTCACGAACTGTACAGCATAAATTGTGNGACTGTTTATCGATCGGTAGTTGGGAAAGTTGTTTTGGGGACCGTCACAAAGATCACGAGTTTGGTTTTAATGAATCGTACCATTATTCAGTCGTCCTTCGGTTGTTTGATATTCATATGGTTTTGGTTGCACCTGGTTCGGAGTTATCATTGTCCGAGGCTGGGTAGGATCCAAAATGAGATAAAGATGATTGAAAAGTGGGTGGTGGTGGTGGTGGTGGTGGTGGTGGTGGTGGTGGTGGTGGTGGTGGTGGTGGTGGTGGTGGTGGTGG